TTGCTGCTGCTGTCGGTGGTACTGTTGCTGCTGCTGTTGGTTTCGGTGCAATTTCTGCTGCTGCTGGCGGGTGTGCTGCAGTTGCTGCAGTTGGTGTGGCTGTTGCTGCTGCTCCTGCTGCTGTTGCTGCTGCTGTTGCTGCTGCTGCTGCTGCTGCTGCTGTTGCTGCTGCTGCTCCCTTTGTGTGCGCAGCCTTAAGATTTATTTGATGTGCTTTTGTGCTGCTGCTGCTGCTGCTGCTGCTGCTGCTGCTGCTGCTGTTTCTGTTGCTCTTACTGCTGCTGTTTCTCTTCTAACTGCATCTGCTGCTGCTGCTGCTGCTGCTGCTGCTGCTGCTGCTGCAGGCAGTGGCTCAGGCGCTGCTGGGTTGCGTGGTTTGCTTAGTTGCGGTGTATAGGCACCTCGGCGGCCTGAAGCCAATCAAACAACTAGAAGAACAAACCATGTATTTCTTTTTTTTATTTTTATTTTATTTTTATTTTTTTTTTGTTTTTGTTTTTTGTTTGTTTGCTTTTGTTCGTTTTTGTTTGTTTATTTTTGTTTGTTTTTGTCTGTTTGTTTTTGTCTCTTCTGTTTTTTTTTTTGTTTTTGTTTTTTCTGTTTTTTTTTTGTTTTTTTTGTTTGATTGCGTGTTTTTGTTTATTTGTTTTTATTTAGTTTTCTTTATTTTTATATTTCGTCGTCATTTACTTTTTTATTTTTATTTATCTGTGTTTATTTCATTACTTTTATTTATTTGTTCTTTTTTATTTTTTTTTATTTTTTCTGTTTTTTGTTTTATTTTTACTTTTTATTTATCTGTACTTATTTACATTTATTTATTTTTATTTCTTTGCTCATTTCTATTTGTTTAGTTATCTATGCTTATTCACTTATTCATTTATATTTATTTATTTATTTTATATTTATTTATTCATTTGTATTTATTTATTTTTTTTTGTATATTTGTTTATTTATTTTTATTTTTGTTGCAGGCAGTGGGATAGCCTGTATGCACGTCCCGGTTTCAGGTGTATGTACACCCGCATGCGTTGTGCTGCTCCTCTCTTTAGAGCTTCTGCTGCTGCTGAAACGCTGCAGCAGCAACTGCAGCAGCAGCAGCAGCAGCAGCAGCAGCAGCAGCGGCAGCAGCAAGTGTCCACAGATTCGCGAGAAAAGAAAAGACAGTGATAGACACGACACGCCTCTACACAGCAACACAGCAGCAGCAGCAGCAGCAGCAGCAGCAACAGCAGCAACAGATGCAGCAGCAGCAGCAGCAGCAGCAGCAGCAGGAGCAGAAATAGCTGCAGCTGCTTTGGCAGCAGCAGCAACATTTGCAGCAAGTGCAGCAGCAAGAGCTGCAGCAAGAGCTGCAGCAACAGCAGCAGAATGAGCAGCAGCAGCAGCTGCAGCTGCTGCTGCTGCTGCTGCAGGAACAGCAGCAGAATGAACAGCAGCAGCAGCAGCAGCTGCTGCTGCTGCAGATGTTTATTTTGTTTTGAGTTGAAAAGAAATAGCTGATCTACCTTTATCTCCTTTGTCTTTATTTAATAACCCTAAACCCTAAACCCTAAACCCTAAACCCTAAACGTCAAGAACCAAACCCTAAACCCTAAACCCTAACAAGAAAACCCTAAACCCTAAACACCAGCAACGAAACCCTAAACCCTAAACCCCAGCAACAAAACGCTAAACCCTAAACCCTAACAACAAAACCCTAGACCCTAAACCCTAGCGTAGTAATATCATCGGCTAGCAACTGAGCCCTTTAAATACAAAGACAAATAAGAATATAATTTATATTTATATTTATATTTTTATATTATGTATCTAAATAAAATAATAAAAACACTGAGGCTGTATGGGGTGTACATGCAGCTCAGGTGTATGCGCAGGTTGAGCACACACAGCCGCCTGCAGCGAAACCTGAGTAAAACAAGGATTTTATTTTGTATTTTATAAATTATATTTAAATAAAATAAATAAAAATAAATAAAATAAATAAAAATAAATAAAAATAAAGTTTTTTTAATCCATCATCACGAGGAGAGCAGCTGCACGAGCAGCAGCGGTGAGGCCCCCAAGGTATGCATGCGGTGTATGTGCTGGGGGGGGAGGTTTTGTGTGTTGTCTGTTTATTTTTTTTGTTTTTTTTTGATTTAATATAATTAAAATGAGTTTTTATTTAATATAATTAAAAAAAAATAAAAAAAATACAGCCGTTTATGCCGCGATCAGAGCTAGTCTAGAGAGGGGGCCCCCCCCCCGCTCACCACCGCTAGCT